ACAGAAAATTTGAGAAAATATTAACTTCAAATCTGTGTCCAAGCACCTTTAAGTGATCACTCAATCAGTATAATCCAAATGCATCTGTTATGATCAAGCTGCAAAATTCTTATTTTTGCTTTTGTAATGAATGTTAATTATTCACTGTAAATGAATTCTACTGTTTATGAAATCGTCAGTTCCTCCAAAGAGTATCTAGAAAAAGTGTGCTTTAAGGGGGTTGCAAAATGTCATAAAAGCAATTTGATGCTGAAAGAAATGGGGCATATCACGATTTAATTTGGGTGAAGAAAGTAATGGGGGCTAATGTTTACCTGAGAATTATACAAACACCAAATGAACAGGCAACAAAAGGCTCTTCATCATCGTGACTGACTGACAACGGCTGTTGTTAAAACAACAAGCTCTTACTCAACAAGGAGGACTGTGAATGCCTTTCACATTCCACAATTTACTTTTCTTCTCACTCTCAAGGTTTTTGATTGAAGCTGATCTGGGATATGTTTTAAGATTTCATTCAAAATCTGTTAACAAAGCCATTCTGTGTTATTTTCTTTTCATTCAAACTTATAAAACTACTACAAAGACTAGATAAGGTGATGCACTAGTTACATAACATACAATGAAAAGATGACTTATTGTTCTTTACTTAATGCCAAAATAACTTGAATTCTTCAACTTATATAGTTACATAATTTTTCAATCCAGGGATTTCCTTGAATGTGAACATGACAGAAAATCTTTCTTATTTGATGCAAATGGCTTCATTCTTCATTTTCTGGTGGAGTTTTCAGCAAAAGAGCCAAAAATCAAGAACAAAAATTGCATTACTCTGCAATTTCACCATTCTGATGGAGGACATCCATCATCACTTAACCAAAAATTGAAACCAAAACTAATCAGCGATCCTAAAAACAACAGTTCTAGAAGAAAACTATCATTTGTCTTCTGCACCTCATATAGTGTTGTGCAAGGAGACAGCTGATGAACAAATACAGGGTTTAGAATACCCTATGATTTCTAATAAGATAATGAGATAATGTCAACAAAAAGGCTATTCAAGGACACCCCCCCCCCCCCAGAAAAAAGCTTTTCAAGAAGAAAAAGAAATCAAATTTGAAATTTTTCCTTTGGAAGTATATCCTGGCCATATTTTAACTGTGCTAGATTTGACACTAAGTCCTATTACATGTAGTAACTTTTCAATAAATTAGGTCCACAATGAAATAGAATGTTCTACAATTGTTTTAAGGTGTGAGTTCATACAGGTGTTTTAAATTAGGGTGGCATTCTAAAAGGTATAAGGAAGAACATGCTGTTTTCCAGATCTTTCCTGCATTATTATTGATAAGTCATAAAGGCTCCAACATCTAAGAACACACACAGAGTCAGTTGCTGAACTGCTGATGTAACGCTGAGGTTTTATTTGATCTTAATCAAATCTGGAAAAGATCACCATGCTTGCACCAGTGTCAAGGCAACTGCAGGACACTGAAGTTTTCCTTAAATTAAAATAATTTTTTCCCATTTTTTTCTTCTTCTGAAGAGTAACAGTCTTTTCTCAATACCTAGTAAAGTTACAAGATGAAACATAGGTTTTGACATTAATACTTGTCTAAAGTACACAGAAGGGAAATAAAGATTATACATTAAGTGTGGCTGCTGTGTTTAGAGCTTCCTATTTTTTTAAATTAGCTAAATCTTGCCATTAAATCAATTCTAATGAGCAGTTGATTCACAAACATATGATTACATGTAGGTTATCGTTCTGCACTCAAATACAAATTTGACGACCTGACTAAAAACACGCAACCCTTCAAAATGCTTTCCATTTTAACTTTACTTCTTAATTCATGATGTTTATTCCTTGACAAAAATGCATAGTCATTTCCATTCACAGGTATAAAATTAAAAATTTGTTTTCTTTCTTCAAATAATTACGAAAAAACATTTCTTTAATTCAAGAACCTAAAACTCCAAGATGAAAGAGAAAATCATCATTTCAGTTTATAACATCACAGACATTCTATACTGGAGAATTCAAAAAACGTGATGGATAATGAAATTCTGCCGTATCTTATGCTCCAGACCTATAATTTTCTCTCTGAAACCCTGTATCACTTACAAGATTTGTTCTCCATACTACAGAAGAGAAGTGTGCCTTGTTGCAATAAACTGCAGTGCAAATAGTGAAAAGTTCTGAGGGTAAATGGGATTTATCTGACAAACTATGGCCAGATTGTTGACATCTATGATGCTTTACCCTTAATTAATTCTACATACACCTTTCAAACATAAAATGGAAGATTATTCAAAAGATGACACCATTTACAGACAGCACAAATTGGACCAAAACTTTCAAATAACCTAATGTCAGCCACAGTATTCCATTAGGGACTTAACTTAGCATTTTATCATCCATGATGTAATTGTTTATTGCAAGAGGTTATGGACCTGTCAATTGACATAAACAACATTTTGTATGTAAAGTGATTGCTAAGTCACATCTATTTATTGCTAAATGTAATGAACAATTTCAGTAATGGATTCTGTTAATCCCGATTTCAATAGACAATATAAAATGTTTGTACACACAAGTCAATCTCTGTATTGGACAGATGCAAAGCATGCTTTATCTTGCTGAGGTCTGCTATTAGAGCTAAGCCCCCATTTTGTTATAGAATTAGTAAGAGCATTCACTAATTTGAACTTACTATGGACTTTCTATGTGATACAGTAAATCTGTCCAATTTTGGGCACCATTGGTTAATTGAAAATTGCAAGATTGGACAATATTTTGGATTATAGACAACATTATAAACAACTGAACTTGCTAAAAAGTTTAGTTCATTGTATTCGGCAAGATTTCTGAATAAACAACATCCGGACTAGACAAGTTTTACTGTATAAATCAAAGTGATTTAATTTAAAAAAAAAAAATTGTAACCAAACACTTTCTGTTCTGTTTGTGATATGGGCAGATTACTTCTCAAAAGTTCTCAGTTTCAGTCTTTCAAAGCATCTAAAGATTTCTTATAAGATTTTCATTAACCATGTTACTTGATACTGAAACATCTGAATAATACAAAAACTTTTTTTGATTAAAGGTTTAAGCTCAGTGGGTATCAGTAAATTAGTGTTTGAAATCACTCTGTTGGCTGGCCTAAGACAATAATGAGGCCTAAGTAATGACTTCAAGACACTGCTTATCCATCATTGGAAAGGAAGACGGTATCATTATCCTGGAACCATTCATCAGCTATTACAATTCTACATTTGTCATGATAAAGCTTTTGAAGTTTTAAGTGTTTTATAGATATTAAGATTTATAATGGTGTGCAGAAAATGACAGGCCTCCAATAGAGAGTTTGGTATCACATTTCTGGTTGGGCATCCATGGAAGATATATTGTGACAAGTGCAAAGACTGCAGAAACAGAGTAGGATGGTTAGAAATTAGTTTGAAAAATAATACTTTGCAAAATCTTTTTAAACAAGATGTTTTTATGAAATACAATGCTCCCTGAGGTAGCAAATTTCTTATGATCACAAATTAGTTTAAAAAGATATTCTTGAACCTCTACAGAAATCATTTTTTGTTTCCCCATTACTAATTAGAATTTGTTTATCTAAAGGTACATACTAGTTTGTGATTACAGAAATTTGTGTTTAAATTATATTTACCACCCCTTGAACACATTATAAGCTTACAAAATGAATTACAAGAGTTATATTTAGCATGAATGATATTTGGCGAAAGATTTTTGATCAAGTTAGCATAGATTTAATTTAGCTAGCACTTTCTGAATGTACTATTATATAAATAGTGCACGTTTTTGAGGGTAACAGTTGAAATTGACACCCCAAGGAAAACCATTGTCAACCGACGCGTCAGCGGAGGTTGACAATGGTTTTCCGAGGGGTGTCAATTTCAACTGTTACCCTCAAAACGTGCACTATTTATTTTATTATACTGAATGTCTTATTGATTTCGGATGTCATAAAAAAATTCAGAGATCGTCATTAAGTTCACGCTTAGAAAGCTTTCAAACTCCCCGCTTCTATTTTTCTCAATAAGAAAGCTTCGGAAAAGATTTACCAACCTCTCTATTGTTTGTTTGCTACTCAAAAAGTCCTTTATCATCTAAAGTTTGCACTCGCAAGGATGTTTCGTCTGTCGTTTGTTGTTTTCAAGTAAGCTACATCGGACGCAAGCTTTTATTGACGTCGTTTATTCGGCTTCTTTCAAACGCATAACTGACGTTTTGAGAATTCTACGGTGAACCGTACGCGCATGATTTGAACGCATGTGATATTTTCGTAATGTTACCCATTGTCAAGTGTGTTGCTAACACTGAGGGTAACATTACGGATTGTTAAATGCGTCTAAACCAATCAGATTTTAGTATTTAACATGAAAGTATAATAAATATGAATATACACACACAAGGCTTTTAGCTATGTACTTGATTTAGTGACAGCTGATTTCTGTGAAAGGCACTAAATAGAACACACAGCCAAACGTAATGCATTTACAGTATTCCGAGGACCATACATCCATAATGTATCTTTGTATCATTCAATAATGAAGCAATATTCAATGTCCATTTGCAAAAAAAAGGTTATAATGCTTCATGGATTGTATTAATTCACAGAAAACTTATAGGACATGTTTAAAGGACTTAAATATTTAACATGCATATTCTGGTATGTAGTTCATATAATTTTGTCCCCTGAGAACTGCAAGTTGTTAAATATTTATCTTAGAACCAACAATCAACCTTCAATTTATTTGTACTTTTAACTTTTGCAGTAAATGAAGTTTTTTCTGACATTTTTGATGGGGTTATACAGAGACCACTAGAGGAAGTCAGGATTGTGTCAATCACAGAAGCTGGCAACTGTCACCAACACTAGCTTCCAATACCTAGCTGCCATATGTTTTATATGATAAGCATCCACACTCTGAATTTACTGTTTCCAGTTTGTATAAAAGAGCCTAAGTAGCAAGATGAAGGCATGACTTATTTCAAGTCTTTTCAATTACCGAACCAATGGCATAATACATTTCTCTTGTCAACCTCATCTCTAAATTGTTGACAGTTTATCAGCTTCTCTTCAACTACCCTTCATTACAAGTGGTCCAGAAAAGTAAGGTGAGATTTATGTGTTAATTAAATGCATATCTGCTATCTTGAAACTTCTAAAACCAAATGTGCATTGATTGAGGGCGATAATGCTTGAAATATAATATACATTGTATCTCAATCTGTTGTAAAAAAAAATTAATTTCCAGAGTTAATGAGTAAAACAGGTAAGCAGGGATGAAAAAAGATGGCATAAATGTCAAGATGGTGATACATATTTAATTATACGTCATTGTCTGATTAACAATCTGTATCCAAAACATAACATTTCAAGGACAATGCAATTACAGTTGAACTTTTTATAGTATCTTGAACATCAGTATCTTGAATACCATGGATATAGTAAAGTAAGTTGGAAATCTCAGATACTTTTTCTTTACATATTTCAATCCCTTATCCAAAATCCTCATTTTTCTCTCGCCCAATCAAATTTGAGATAACAAGGTTTGACTGTATGTGGACATCTATAATGCCACTGTCCATTGAGATCTGGTCAATAGAGCCTGAATTGATAATAACCTAATATGTCCGTTATTAATTATAATCTCTGATATATGTCAGTCAGAAACGAAAGAGAAGCAGAGAAACATTACCCCAGAGTCTAATGGATTTTCTGCTTGCTAATCAAAAATCAATTCTATAAAAATTTGACTTTCCCATTTCTGACACAAAATTGTATTTCATTGTCATGTTCCTTTCGCTTACATACAAATGGAATTACATGCAATACAAAATATATGTGATGGTGAATTTCCACACATTTCTAGGGAGAGGGCAACCAATATGCGATACGTAATATGGTGGAACTGGTTAATAAGAGAACAGTACGTGTCATATTAATCCATGGCTTTGTGAAAATCTCTTTGAAAAATCTCTGATGAGAAGGAGGACAAAAGAAAATTCTGATACCATATTCTACAGGGAATCAATACATCTGATTAAATCTGAAAGGCCACAATTGTGTGAATACTACTAAATCAACTCTCAAACCAAAAAATGATGCTCCCTCTTTTGTTTTATTTTTTGATTTTGGAAAAAGTAACGTACCGAATCTTTTTGACTTTCAGTTTTTGGATCCTTGAAAATCAAGATTTTATTAACTGGCATTCCAATTATCTACAGCTTCTTGTCTTGTTTTTAATAGAAATAAATTTTCAATTATCATTTTTTAAAAAAAATACAAAATAACAATTTCTTCAAGACAAGGTCAATGTCCTTTAATTTTTTAAAACAAGATGGGACATTTCAAATTTTAATATTTCAAGTCCCATTTTCCGTGCTCCCTCTTCAAGATACCAAAGGTTTCCAGAGAAGAGGTTTACATTAAGTCATCGAAGGAATGAATGATTTACGCTGGAAAAAGTATGAGAGAATTGTATGTACCATCATTTAAGTACCAAGCACTTTCCAGTGTGCATTTCCTTAAAATAGAACCTGCTTATAATAATGTAAGTATGTTTTAAGAGCCTTCATCAAGCCCACTCAAGTACCAGAGCACCTAAATTAATAGACTTTCCCCTTAACACAATGGTAATTGCTCTATCCAATTCTCAACTCTATTTAACAAGATAAACAAATTCGTACAAATGGAATTAAGAAAACTTGTGTTGTTTTTCTTTTTTGATAGATATTTGTCTTTTCTTTTAATGAAGTTGAGCTATGCACACACTTTTATGACTTGCACTTCAAGAAATAAAGTGGCACTTCATTCAGGAATATAAATTATCAAGACTGGGTGTGTGTATGAACTTACAGGTTCTCAATAAGCATATGATAAACTACTTTGTAGCTGGTGCATCAGTTACAAACAACTTATCATACTACAGGACTACTTGGACACATGAAGTAGAGGAAACAGATCCTGCTTAGCAATCTTGTTCATAATTTGACAAATACAGGCAAGAAAACCTATGGCCTTGAAACCAAGAAATGAAATACAGTTAAAACATGCTTATAGCAAACATTTAAAATGAATTGATACTTACAGGAAATGATTTTTTATTCCCTATGGCTTTAAAAAAATGTTTTGAATTTTATGGATATAACAAATTACATTTATAATGAAGCAAAATTGCTGACCCTGGCACTTCGTTATAAGCATGTTTTACTGTATTTTAACTTTGTCATCTCCACCATTGCCTCTGGAAGGATTTGAACCTTCACTGAAGGTAGGGGCTAATGATAATGACCTCATCCACTGGGTCATTTGAGCTTATTATAGTGCTGATGAATTGATATGGACAGACTTACTGTTGCTGGCTGTCTGTCAATGGACGACTGTTGTAGTAATAGGAATCATAGCCATCACCTCCGCCACCAGATTTGGCCCCGTCTTTGTCAGTTTGGCTTGATACTACAAATAATCAAATAATTTCATTTGGTGACATTTGCAATCGTACTAAAATAGTTCAGTATATCGTCTTTCAGTGTATACATGGACTCTCACAAACAGATGAAGTCTTACGACCAAAGAAAATGTTCGTATAGACATACTTTAAGGAAGAACTTTTCGACATGAACCTACATAAACATACCATTATTCATATCTTCCATGTTCTTTTCATTCATTATTGATAATATTTGTTACATTATAAATGACAAAAAGAACAGATTCTGCATCAAATCAAGATGACAACTTGGTGTCTTGACTAATAATTCTGATGATTTATTTAGCTAAAATTACACCCATGTTTTCTTAAAAAGAGTAAATTACAGCAACATAGGAAGAGAAAATGTGGATATGATTGATGCTGCCTTGAATTAATTGCACTCAAACAAAAAGCCCCCACCTCTATCTGGGGGCAATTTTCTTCCCTTTTGTGTCTGCCATTCCTTAAGTAAACTAATTCTTTTCAGAAGACCATCATGGGGTCCATCATTCTAGCAAGAAGAAGGTGCACACAAAGCCATAAAAGTGTGTCAGACTACTGAGTCACTGGGATCGATTCCCATTATTTTTCATAAATGAATTTTTGGTCTGGATGCTTTGGGAGTCCTCTGGATTGTTAGGCTTCTAGTCTTCAAGGGTCTTTCCTAAAGGAGGAAATGTTTTCTGAAGCATATTAAGGTCTTCTTCTGATTATGACACATTTAAGGAGGATTGTGTTTTTTCCCCAACAATATGGCACTTGTCTCATGGAGTATTTCTGAGCCAAAAAAAAAAATGATCAGGGACCCTAGGTCTATATACAAAAGGAAAAGGTTTTTTGACTTTGTAACTAATGATTAAAACATATAAAGTTGAAAGTAATGAGTTCATATATTTCATTTTCAACATAAAGTAACTGTCTTTAATTCCCACAAGGAAAAAAATTACTGGACAACAAAATATTGATAAGTTAAATTTGAAAAACACATGCAAATAAGAATCTAATTACTTTATTTTGGTCTACTATTATTTTAAGAATACTCAAATTGATTACAAACTGTGTTACACCATAGGTTTCAATTTATTCAATTTTAAATCAAAGGGCAGATCACTCTAACTCTGTATAAAAGCAGAATGGAATTGCAGTGATATGATGGCCTATCAGAAAATTTCAACCTTACCATTAAAATATCAATTACATCATTGTCAAAATTTTTCTGTCACTTGTGGCAATATGAAGAGAAATCAAATTTGAATTGAATTATCATAAATAAATGGACAGAGAGAGAGAGAGATGGAGATTGAGTTATAAATCAACAATTCCATAAGCACCATTTCATAGACCTACATAGTCTCAAGGGAGAAAAAGTCTAGACAAGATAGAGTAAACAGTTGAAGGGAAAGGCATAGCTAGTTTATACACTATACTGATAATTAAAAGAGTAGGACAGACTTCAATAGTGTAGATGTTCTGCCTTCTGGTCATGGTATAGTCTATACAGATATTTGGTCATTAAAGGGCTATACCTAAGCTTTTGGAATCGGTAAGATGAAGTTATAATCAATTCAGTCACTAATAATAATCCATCAATATTCTCAATACAATACCACTTAGTCCTTGGGTGAAAAATAGGTGGGGAATTCAAAGTTACACATTCGTCTTGTGATCAGATATAATTTTTATATAATTAGTTGTATGTTTTCTATCTTTGAGCTTTGGTTAGGGGAGAGTAAAAACACGAACAAGTTGGACTGTGAACCACAAACAACAGATTTCTTGAATCACATTTTAATTTTTCTTTTTAAATGATAATATTCCTTTTCCAATTTCCTAGAGGCTGCATTATGCAACATATCAACATAAAAAATTACTTAAACAGGTGTGTATTAAATAAAAGCAAAAATGTCTTTATTTATTATATTCATCAAATTATAACAAATTTAGGTCAGCCTTCTGCATTTACATATGCAAAAGAATTTATTTAATATATTTACTTGACATCGCAAGATGTAGGAATACCACGTTCAGGATTTGATAAATTTATTCAATGACCATTAAATATCCAAATACATGTAGTTAAAGGGGTAAATGTGTCAATAATGAAATAAATTTCAATAAATTCTTGAGGGTTCTTTATATCCACATTTTTCATGCTAATCACAAAGAATATTTTAAAACCATTTCTTAATTTCTTTCAGTCCTAGTTCTCTGTATAAGTAACTTGACAAACATTATTGTTTTGGGCTGGTGCCCTTAGCTGGTAGCTATCATCTCAACAGGGTCAATGATCCTCTGCATGCCGTTAGGTGCTGCTGAAAGGTTACTTAATCAGCAGACACAAAGATCACACAAAGTCATCATTTTTATCACTAAAATAATGGAAAATGTAATTTTAAATGACAGATTATAGCAATTAACGTAGTGATGCAGAAGTTATGCATTTGATAATTTGTATATTGTCAGCAGGATGTCTTGTTGTTAATTATTTCATTTATCTTTTCCCTCATTTTTACTTTTTTTCTTTCATGTTGATAATTTTTCTCCCTTTTCTTTTGATGATCTGCATTTATTCTTTCTTTTGCCAACATTCCAGCATCAACTTTCAAACGTTTTCAAGGTCTTGCTAATGTTGTAAATTTA